GGTTTTTCTATATTTCAACCACAACATGCTATTTCACGCCACAAATAGCCCAATGAACACCCAAAGACAATAAATCCATTTTTTTATCAACCAACTCTAGGTTCCCTCATGATTTTCAAACAAACCCAACATAGGTATGGTTTTCATGCAATACAAAACTACCACATGTCTATCTATAGACGAAGTATTGAAAAAGAACAAGGAGAATCCCTACCTCAAATGGAGAACTCAAATAGAGAAGATGACCCGAAATCAAAGTGCTCCAAATCCCAAATTTCTTGGATCACAACGAAGCCCTCGACGATCAACACACTTCTTACAAAGGCCCAAGGTAGGAAAACACTCTAGCTAGATCAATCCTAAGAGAGAAGTTAGGTTTTAGAGTGAGGTGCTCTCCAATGGCTTTTTCGAAAAAGTAAGAGAGAGAAAGGAAATCAAAAAGTGATTCAAAAAGCTGAATCTCGGTGTGTTATACAGGTCGCCCCGCTCGAGCGTGGAAACCCCCGCTCGAGCCTCACTCACAGACTCCCGCTCGAGCGCCAAAAACCCCGCTCGAGCGGCGGATACAACCATCCAGAAGTTTTGCAGAACAGGCCCCTGCTCGAGCGTCCAACTCCCCGCTCGAGCGTCTCACACAAACTCCCGCTCGAGCGTCAAACCTCACGCTCGAGCGTCCAACACTACAGAGGAAATACTGGGAAGGTGATTTTCCCGCTCGAGCACCGAAACCCCCACTCGAGCAGAGAGGTCAAACACTGGGCAAAGATTCTAGGTTTTAAAACACAACCAACATAACCCAACAAGTCCAACACAACCCAAAACTCTAAGATAAGAGTAAGGGGCAGAAAAGAGAATGAGACAACAACAACAAATCTACGGAACCGCGTCCGGATTACGGTTCAATAACAACAGGGAATATCGGGATCACTATACGACCCCCCTATTACCATTGCTAAAAGCTCGCTGCCGTCGCAAAAAAACTTTTGAGATAGGGTTTTGGGTATTTGCGACGGTATTTTACCGTCGCAAAAAAGCAAATTTTTTGTAGTGCAAGAAAAAAAAAACGCCAAAGCTAAGACAACCCAAAACCAAACAAAGAACAAGATAGCAGGAGAAATGCAGCTCCAGCAGCCCAACATAGCCACCCAGTAACCACACAGAACAGCAGCTGAAGACCAAAGGCTGCAAGAGCCACAAGCCACTTGCTGAAAAAACAAACCCAATATGCTCCAATCACCAGTTCAGCAACCACACAGATAATGGAGAACCTGAACAAGATCTACAAAGGAGAACATTGTATTTGATTCTTTAGTTGGAAAATTATAAAGAAGTATAACTGCATAAAAGATTATTTTATTCTTTTAAATTGTTTACCAAGCAATGACTATGCTAAATTTGACAATTTATTATTTTATTTTTTGGTTGAGATTTGCAACATGTTTTCTTTTATTATTTTATCAATTAAAAAAAAATTATTACACAATTTTTAAAAAACAATCGAATATTTAAAAAAAAATATTACACATGTTTGCAAAATATAGTCCACACTTCAAAACTATAAACCAAAAATAAATATATCCTACTTGAATATCTAATCCATTCACAACATAAACTAAAAATTGAGCTCAAAACAAACAAAAAAAAAAAAAAAAGGAGAAATTTCTACACTTGGGGGTAATGCTATATACAGTGTGCACCATTTGTAACACAATTTTGTGGTATATGTTAAGTACTTTTGTAGTAAATGTTATATATTTTTTTGGATAGAGTAATGACAATTAGTGATTCAGAAATAGAGTTACGTATTTTATGGTAAGTTGCGTATTTTTGTGAAAATGTTACGCATTTTTTGATTAGAAAATGTCTGAATGAAAGTGTAAAATTGTTGCAAAATTCATGACTTCATTTATGAATCACAAATTATCATAACTCTACCAAAAATATTACGTAGCATTTATCACAAAAAAATGTATAACGGGTGCATATTGAAGGAGTGTATACCATAGAATTTCCCAAAATTTGGACCAATTTTGCTTTTTGAATAGTCATTCTTGTTGGAAAATAATAGTTTTTGGTGACTTTAATGTGAAATTAAAGTAGGTTTTTATCCTCTATTGAGGTGGGTTAAAGTGTGTTTAAATTCTTTGTAATGAAATCTTTGCACCATAAAAAGAATGACAAAAAACCATTAAGATTTAAAAGAGAAATTAACTCATTAAGTTGGCCTTGTGGTGTTGGGAAATGCATGTAACCTTCTGTCCTATATTGATTATAGAGGAAAGCATTGATGGGTATTTAAATCCCATCTTTTGCCTAAGGGTGTGAGCCTTTAAGGGCATTCAAATTTTCTAAAGGAAGGGAGTTATAGATGCTTCAAGGATGGACTGGAACTAAGACTATGACCAAGTTGGTTATGCAAAAATTGCAACTCGGACCGGGCCAAGTCCGAGTCTGTGATCCATGGGTCTTGGATCTTGGGGCTTGAGTGGGTTGGGCCGAGTTGGTAGTCCACAAACCTAATCTTTTGGGTCAAGCCAGGTTGGTGGCTGCAGATATACGCTCATGTATATAAAGAGTGTATAACTCGCACACTTAAAGTCCCATCAGTGTTGCTACATTTGTTGGGTAGTTTTGCTGAGATTTATTTCTGCATTTGTTGAAGGAAGTTCCTTCTCTCTCCCCTTCCACGTTTATAAAAGGAGATCCCTCTCCTTCAGTTTTCTACCTAGAAACTTTGTCTCTCTTTGTGTTTCAAAGTTTCTCAATTTTATATTCTTTGAAGTCGCATCAGTTTTGCTGCATTTGTTAGGCAATTTTGCAGAAATTTATTTCTGCATTTGTTGGAGGAAGTTCCTTCTCTCTCCCCTTTCATGTGTATAAAAGGAGATCCCTCTCCTTCAGTTTTCTACCTAGAAAATTTTTCTCTCTTTGTGTTTCAAAGTTTCTCAATTTTATATTCTTTCTAGTGAGAGAGAGTGCTGCTTTAGTTTTGTTCGCCGAAGCTACACCGTAGGTGCTTGGCTGTAGTTGGTCCAACTGTTGTATCCTGGAAGACAGATGTCAAACAACCTCTAGCACCCCAATCGGTGAGGTGGTAAATCTGTTTTAAGGAAACTATCTAGTGTAAGCTTCGGTTTGCTTTCTTTTGCCATTTTTTATTTTATTATGTATTTTCGTTCAATCTACTTGTAATTTTCAACATGTTTCTTTGTTCTGGAATTTACATCCTTGAATATGTATCTATTTGGTTTTATTTTATTACACATATGTACATTAATTCTATTTGACACTGACACCTTAGGATTGGGCAAAAGAATTGAAAAAATTACAAACCAATGCAATCTAAACCAAATTGCACAGTGTGGTTTGATTTTCTTGATGCATAATCCGATCAAACCTTTGAAAATAGGTCATTGTACTTCATACTTACCCAAAAAGGTCATTGTACTTCACAGTTCAATCCATAAATTATAATTATAGTTTTGATTTGGAATCAAATTGTTCCATTTGGATATATATATATCAAATTTGTTATTTATCGTACGCATCTTATATATATTCACCAGTTTTGAACTCTTTTTTCTTGCAAATGTACTATTGTCTAACGACATAGCTAATTTTCAACAATCATTTAAATATATTTTATAAAATGATGGTATATTATTTTATTTTTTTGTGATCATATTATGAACGATAGTTTTATAAAATCTATGATTTCAAATCAAACTGAACTGTTGTTCCATGGTTCCGGTTAATTTGGTTCTAAATTTTTAATGATTTCATTTCAAATTTTATAAAAACTTTTCGTCTTAATTTCTTTCAAAACCGATCTATACTCATCTCAACACACCTCCTTAATTATCCCAAATATTAGAGACTAGCAATCCAAAATTCAATTTTTTAACCAAAGTCACCCTAGTTGTATAGCATGACCTGGTCATCTAATCATTTTGTAGAATATTTCTAATTATATCAATTGCCAGCACAAAATATTGTCATACTTGTCAGTATGTATGTCTATATATAAGGCAGAAAAGCAAATCACAACTCAAAAAACCAAAAACAAACAAATTACAACTGAACAAGTGAAATAGCGTGTCATCTTGCCAAAATCTTGATTCCTGTTTGAAAAAAAGTGAAAATAGGTCATTGTACTTCATACTTACCCAAAAAGGTCATTGTACTTCACAGTTCAATTCATAAATTATAATTGTAGTTTTGATTTGGAATCAAATTGTTCCATTTGGATATATATATATCAAATTTGTTATTTATCGTACGCATCTTATATATATTCACCAGTTTTGAACTCTTTTTCTTGCAAATGTACTATTGTATAACGACATAGCTAATTTTCAACAATCATTTAAATATATTTTATAAAATGATGGTATATTATTTTATTTTTTTGTGATCATATTATGAACAATAGTTTTATAAAATCTATGATTTCAAATCAAACTGAACTGTTGTTCCATGGTTCCGGTTAATTTGGTTCTAAATTTTTAATGATTTCATTTCAAATTTTATAAAAACTTTTCGTCTTAATTTCTTTCAAAACCGATCTATACTCATCTCAACACACCTCCTTAATTATCCCAAATATTAGAGACTAGCAATCCAAAATTCAATTTTTTAACCAAAGTCACCCTAGTTGTATAGCATGACCTGGTCATCTAATCATTTTGTAGAATATTTCTAATTATATCAATTGCCAGCACAAAATATTGTCATACTTGTCAGTATGTATGTCTATATATAAGGCAGAAAAGCAAATCACAACTCAAAAAACCAAAAACAAACAAATTACAACTGAACAAGTGAAACAGCGTGTCATCTTGCCAAAATCTTGATTCCTGTTTGAAAAAAAGCTTACTATTTGTTTTCCCAGGAAACAAACAAGCAACTTTGTTCTTCCTGGAAACAAACTGGAAGCTTTGATCCGAACCCACCGTCGTCTTCCTTCCCAAACCACGTTTTTCTAGGTTAGAAAGAGAGAGATGGGTATCAAGACAATCTTTAAACCCAAACAAAGCCCAGAACAATTATTGAGGGAATGGCAAAGACGACTCCAGCAAGAGTACCGTAGAATTGAAAGCCTCACCAGAGGCATGTTCTTTTCTTCAATCTATTTCTATTATATGTTTATGTATATACAGATACATATACATTGATGCAAATTGTAATTTCTCGTTATGGGTTTTGTTTTGTCAATAATGGGTTTATCTGAATTTGTGTTTTTATGGTGAAAATAACCATGTTTTTTTGTTTTATTTTTTGCCTCACTAGATGTTGAGAAAGAGGAGAAGAAGGTGCAAAGAGCAATTAGGGATGCTGTCAGGAGGAATGACATGATCTTAGCAAGGGTATTAATTTTTCTTTCTTTCTATGATTATATATATATATTGATTGGATTGTGTTCAATTACATTGTATAATTGTATTAGCGGCAACCCATTTTTCATTTTTTTTGGTTGATTTGAGTTGGTATGGTCCTTAGCCCTAAGCTGAATTAGAATGAAAAGGCCAAGAAGTCAATGAAATTTTTACTTTCTATTCCCTTTGAAATATTGAAGTTCTTGGTAAGTAACCAAAATGCATGCATATGTTGATAACAACGAATAAGATATGGATGTTTTCACTCTCCATATTGCTAGAAGAAATTACAAATTAGGAATGTAGTAAAGTTAGAAAGTAGGTTATTTTTGGAGTCAAATGCTACATTGCTTAATTGGTTATTGAGTGTTAGTGGATTGTATTATGATCATCTGTTTGTTTAGAGCTTTCTTATCGATGAAATTTTAGTGAATGCCATTTTCTTCATGTAAGCAACAGGACAATTTGACCTTGTTAGCACATCTTGACACCAAAAACAAATCATTTTTCATTGGATTGCTTGTGTTCACTTGGAGGTTGTTTGGGATGTCCATCATAGAATGACTCCTTGCCAATTGTCATCACATCTTCTTCATTTTCTTTTATTTTTTGAAAATTAACACTAATATCTAAGTACTTCAGCTTCCACTTTTCTGGGAAAGAAAACTCTACTTTCTTTCACTTATAAGGTTTCACAACTAGTTTAAGTGTTGCTGGCTACTCATGCGTCCTTTTCAATATTTTCCCTAAGTTCTCTCTCTCTCTCTTACACTCATACACACACATACACATTAAGTCATGACCCGAACCCGCCCATACAAGTTTGGATCATAACCGACCAGTAATCATGAAATTACCTATAGCCTCAGACAAAATACAGACATATTTAATAATAAGGGGGCCGAAAGCGGAAGCAAATTAAAAGAAATTTTGTCAAATGAGCTGTGCATAAATGGCATAAACAGAAATTTCACATATATTAATAATTCACACTCATGCAAACATTATAAGATTCCGTATATCCAAGATCTTTCAAGCATCATTGCCATACAAACTAGAACTTATATACAGAAACGGTCGAGTATGGCCAACAAGAGAAAGAAACAGAAAATCAAAAGATCAAAGAAACAAAAGCCTCGCTCATGAGGCGCTCATGACAGACTTCACAAAACTTGATTTCCTTTACAGGTACGCTAAAGCTGGGTTGGACGTTTCGTTGCTCATTTATATACATATAAATATAGAGTGAGCTAACGCCCAGTGAATAACATCAGAGTAAAGGGTTTATGTAAATGAGTTCTAGTAATTGATATAAGCATATATATATATATATATCATGAGCAATACGTAACAGAACGACCTCGGGTCCAACGTATAACAGTAGTACAAAATAAAATTGATCATATCATGACAGAACGACCTCGGGTCCAATCATTTATAGTTGTATTATGACCATTCGGTCAACTCATAATAGATAATTAGACTTATCAGATATTCAGAACGACCTTGGGTCTATCTGATCAAATGTCACTACAAGAAAAATCACCTTTGGCGACTAAATTTTTAGTTGCCAAAAGTCCATTTTTAGTCGCCAAAGTCGACTTTTTAGTTTCCCCGACTAAAATTTTTAGTCGCTGCTTTTGTCGCGAATACATGGTCGCCGGAGGTATTGGCGACTAAAACTTTTTTAGTCGGCAAAAAACAGGTCTTTAGCGACCAAAGTTTTAGTCGCCAATAGTGACTTACACTTTTGAAAATGATACATTTAGTGACTAATCCTTTAGTTGCCAATACTCACTGAATCGCCGACTAAACCGTTTAGTCGCCAAAGGAGCTTCCGTGAAAAAAAAAAATACCAACTTTTTTGCTTTTTCTGAGACTCAAACCACCAACCTATCCCACATGCTAAACCTTTAGCAACACACTCTCTCCACTATGCCACTACAACACCACATGAATATATATGCAATATATATTATTTATATAGTATATTGACCCGTATTAATATAAAACTATATATACAAATATAATTATTTTTATTCAATATAATTTATGTAAAAAATAAATTATTTACTAAAAAAAAATTGAGGCCACTTTTGGCGACTAAATCCATTATTTAGTCGCCAATTCTGTAATTTTGGGCTACTAATTATTTTTTAGTCGCTAAAAAAATAAGTTTCGCCTAAAAATAAACAGTTTTGGCGACTAAACCTGTTTTTAGTCACCAAAAAGTCCCCTTTTGGCTACTAAACTGAATTTTAGTCACCAATTGGCTGTTTTTAGCTACTAAATTTTTTTTAGTAGCCAAAAGGCTTCACTTTCAGCGACCAAGCTGTTTTTAGTCGCCAAAACACGTATAATCGGCGACCAAACTGTTTTTTAGTCGCCAAAACCTATACTTTTGGCTACTAAATTATTTTAGTCACCAAAAACCGTCACTTTTGGCTACTAAAAAACCTTTAGTCGGTAAAACCCATATAATCGGCGACTAAATTGATTTTTAGTCGCCAATAACTATACATTTGGCTACTAAATTGTTTTAGTCGCCAAAAGTCTTCACTTTTGGCTACTAATTCCATTTTAGTCGCCGAAAATGGCACTTTCAGCGACAAAAATAATTTTTTTAGTCACCATTTATGCATTTTCTTGTAGTGTGTATAGAACGACATTTGGTCCATTTCAATTACATAGAACGACCTTAGGTCCAATTCAAGTGTATCGAAAGGACCTTGGGTCCATCACACATATTTGTGACACATCAATCACATTTACAGATGTCACATTGATAAGACAGATAGAAACTCATTTACGCTTACAAAATCACAAATTCGAAAAGGCTTATCGCATAAGGACATTCAGAAAAAAAAAGTAAGTAAGAAAATATCTTCACTAAGATATTACTCACAGTGATTCAATTGTTGACTTGTTCTCGCAGATGATCCTATACAATACATCAACGCAGAAATGTTAAATTACATTGCTTAATCGGATTGTTCTTTAACTTACTCAATTCTTTTAGGCCTCATTCTAACCCTTTAATTCATTTAGGGTGTTCAATTTATGCCTAAGAATGCTTAAAAAGGAATGAGAATGCACACTTGATCAGAATATTTTCAAAATTTGCTAAAACAGAGCACTTTGCTCGTGTCATGACCCAATTCCGCCCCTAGTAGAATGATGTCGTGATGGCCAGTAATCCGAGATTGCCGAAGGCCAACTTACAAAGATTCACACAACAGAGTATACATATGGGGCATACATGTGCGGAATCATAAATTTAAATCTAATTATTCCATAAGAGCTGTGCATAGATCAAATGAAATGGCATATGTCTTAACATAGTTTTACAACTTGAATACCACATAAAATAAAGTACATCTTATATCTTGATCAAAAGGCTTCTCAAGCCAAAACATACAAAAGAAATGAACTAAAAGCCAAGAAGCATAATCTTCAAGATGCTAGCAAAACACGAATCCAAAACAACTTGCAAATAACATCTTAGGCACCACCCCCCTCTTGCTCAACACCTACATATATATAAGGGAGAGGGGTGAGCTAAAAACTCAGTGAATGATATACATAATAAAGGTTTGAATGAATGATATCTGAGATCTTGCAAAACATTTCATATCATAACTTGTAACAAAGCAAGGGATGAACCAAGTTCATCAATCAAAGTCTTTCAAAGCTTCAAGGGATGCTTACTAGCATCTACATAATACAAGGGATGACATTCCTGACAAAACAAGGGAATAATCGACCTGGAATCAATTAGACGAGCCTACCCACTGAAGCCGTCGCTGGCAAGGGAGATATCTCAAACGAGGGTATTAGTTGCATTATAGTCCCCTAGCACTAAGGACTTTCCAAGAATGTCATCAAAACAAACATAATACTTGATACAAAAATTAAGGGATAATCATTCATGCTTGATCAAATACTTTTCCAAAACAAGCAAAGCTTTTATCCAAAACATTATAACATAGCTTCATTAAAAATACCACTCACAATAGCTCTTCGGGTGTAGGGATTAAGGCAAGAATCCAAGGCATACAATCATATAGCAAAGTCTACTAAATGCATTTCAAGAAGACAAGAAGGAATGCTCAAAGATGGTTATGCAATGCATTCTCAAAACAAGATTCAAATGATTAAGAAAGATCCCGGCATTTCTTTCCAAAACCAAGTCAAGATAAAACAAAGCATGTGCTAGGAGTCAAATCACTATTTTTCATCTTGGAAAAGCATGCTGGGTGTAAACTAGGTCTTGGAATGGATGCATAGAGATGATCTGGGCCGAAATGGCCTAACTGGGTGCCCTTAGGAGGTCATGACTGAGGTTCCACACCCCTTGGCCGAGGTGTGGCCTCCTTGGTCTAGGTATGCAGCTACTTGGCGAGATGTTACAAGGTGTCGGCAAAGGTGTACCATGGTCGACCTAGGTGTGCAGTGGTTGGCCTAGGTGTTCATGCAAGATAGACTAAGGTGCAAGTGATCATGCTAGGTAGGCCAAGGTGAGATACGATACTTGGCCTAGGTGTGAGGTCTGGGCAAGAGTGGGTCTCAGGGACCACATTTAGGGAAATAGTGAAGTCTAGCAGTTTGGGTTTCCCCTTGAAGAACATGAACATGAAGAGCATGAAGCACATGAATGCTAGAATCATAACTTTTTATTCAAAATCTAAGATTTCATGATATAATTTCAAAAACATGGACCTGGGTACCCATGGAGATTTCATGAAAACAAACACAAAACATGGAACTTGATACAAACTTTCGGATCAAAATATGGTTTTCTTTCAAGAACACAAGAACACCACTTTTTCTTTCTAAAACAAAACTTTAAATCAATGCATGGCTCATGAATCGTGCTGGATCGTGCAATGCGATCAGATAATCATAAAGAATAACAAGAGTAGATCAAGAATCTAACCTCGAAATGTAAATCCAACGGTTCAAGGTACGAAGATCAAGCTTGGAAATCTAGT